CCACCACCACCACCACCACCACTGATTGGCCGAGCAGGCAACGTGGACGAGAGCTACGCCAACGAGCTGCTCGTGGCGTTCGAGTACTCGCCCACGATTACCTCTGCGCGGCGGCGCCCAAGGTCATGCTGACCAGCCTCACGGCGCAGCCCGACCGCGACCGGCCCTTCGTCGTCAACGGTTCGTTCCGCGCTGATCTCCATACAATTGAAGAATTGGCGCCAATTGTTTACATTAACACACATTGTGCTATGCGACACCACAACCAACACGCGCAGGGCGGCAGTGCTACGCGGGGCCGGCCTACCAGCGGGGCGAGGAGGTGGCGGCCGCCACGGTGAACAACATGGCGCTGAGCGTGGGCAACCTGTACGGCCTGGGCTACCGCGTGGGCAAGTCGATCAAGGTGCGCTTCGAGAGCGTGCCGGAGCTCATCGCCGTCATCAACGCGCCGCCCACGCACTTTGACATCGTCGACGGCAAGGAGGTGGTGGTCAACCCGCGCACCTTCAACGGCTACGGCTCCTCCACGCGCCTCTCCAACGCCGAGGGCGTCGCATCGTCCTTCACGATCTCGCGCGACCTCGTCCACACCACAGCCACCTCCGTAGATGTGCGTCCGGGCTCCCCCCCATCTCCACACCCGAAATTAGTGGCTGGCTGACTTAACTCCAAACATCTATTTTTCGTCGTCGTCGTTGCTGCTGCTGCTGCTGCTTCCGCTGCTGCTGCTTCTGGTCGGCCAGGCGAGCGCAAGGGCCAAGGTGGTGGCTGTGGTGGCCAACGCGGGAGTTCAATTTGAGGAGATGAAGAAGCGGGCCAACGAGCTGGGCCAGTCGACGGTGGAGCAGATCTCGGTGTCGCGCGAGCTGGTGGCATCGGGCGACGACGTGGTGTTGTACATGTCGACCACGCGCGACCTGTGGAAGCTCCCCATCGTGGACCAGAACGGCGCGCAGGTCGGGTCGCTGGACATCTGGGCGTCGTCGAGCTGCGGCGAGGACTGCGTGCAGAAGGGCGACGGGCGCGACCTGTGGTGGTTCACGCCCGACCACGAGCCCTTCAACGTGCTCACCTACTCGTCGCGCGCGCCCGAGGACTTCAACCCGGCCAACCGCATCATGGTGGGCGAGAAGGTCACCCTCGGCCCCAACGAGCACCAGGTCCTCCTCCAACCCCCCCCCCTCTTTGCCCTCTCTTTCCCCCCGCCCCCAAAACTCCCAAAACCTCCAATTCACACTCCCTCGCGTGGGCGGAATCGAATGCACACGACGACGACGACAACGACAACGACAACCACCAAAAACAACAGCAAGCGGTGACGCAGAGCTCGAGTAAAGCCGAGACCAAGATGGGCGGCCAACACAACTCGACCGCGGCCGACAAGAGCCTTTCGGTGGGCGTGAATATCAACCAGAACTTGGAGGTACGGTCGCTTTGGCCGGTCTGGCGCCCTGCCCCCCCCCCTCCACTACGTCCCCCCCGCCAAAA